ACGAACCCGGCGTCCTGGATTCGATTCCCGCTCACGGCCAACACTAGTGACGATTATCTAAACCGGTCCTGGGCCTCCCCTAGGTCGACTCGGTGCGGTGTAGTAAACATTGCCACGAGGGAGACAAAGGCGGTCGGGCGTGGTGCTGGCCACCCACCCCCTCGTGTATCGTTCCGGCCTTCATAGGTGCTCGCTAACAGCACTTGCCCCTACAGGCTGTTAAGGCTGTATGGGGGATCTTTATATTTGTCGTTGTGTATGCGTGCTCCCGTGTGTGTGTGTGCATTTTTGAGGACCTAGTATGCCCCTTCCGACAATCAGGTCAGCATGAACACTCAAAGTGAAAATGAGACGGATGTTTTTATTTTCAAGTTACTTTATTGCATAACTTACATGCCCTACAGCATTTATAATAGTTTTACGCGCTAAAGTACTACTTATTTACGAGTTTAACAATGCTTAATGTTTTTTTGCGGTAACAATTTCTACGTCCAGTATGTGCAGTACATAAAATGTAATATTGAGTTCCGAGGTTCAAACAAATTGACTTTCGAAACGCGTGTTCATTCCTAACATGTGTGTGAGTGTATGTCTGTGTCAAGAGCGGTGGCATTGTAGTTAGCTCAGTGTTAAGAACCCGCCCACCGGCGTTCGATTCTTGATGTGGTGTATAAACTTCAGCACTGGGACGATGAAGATCTTCAGGCGTGGCATTGTTCAACAACCACTTCTTGTGTCGATGCTGGCCTTCATTGGTTCTTGCTAATAGCACTTGTCCAACAGTCTGTTCAAGGCGAGACGAGGAATCTTATTCGTGTATTCTTTTTGTTACTTTTTAATTGGGGCAAACTTGAAGCTAAAGCGATCTTTAAACTGCCCGAATTTAAAAGTTTACAGGAAGAATTGTTTGAGCCATCTAAATTTAGATGTCTCGGCTGTCGTCGTGGGGATGCCTGCTGGTGAGGGTGGTCGTGGAGGCGGCGGCAGTGATGGCCGTGGCGGCATCGTCTGTGGTGGCGGCAAGACTCAGCGTCTCCATCTCCTGGTGGAGCATCTCCTTCTGCTGAAACAGCGCCACGATCTCCTGATACAGCGTCACGTTCTCCTCGTGCAGCGTCTGGCTTTCTTGACGCAGCGTCTCGTGATACTCGATCGCTCGCTGTTGCAGAATATTCTCCCGACGCAACGCCTCCATCTCCCGAAGCGCCGCCTCCGTCCGCTCGCGCAGCACCTTGTTCTTCTGAAACATCATCGCGACTTGCTCCTCCTGCACCTCATTCGCCTGACGCAGCAGCTCGTAGTGTTGTTTGTGCGTTGACATAGCTGAAAATATACAAGGATAAGAACGAATAGTTTGGAAAGCGCCTGGCACAGGAAATATACCGAAGCACTGACGAGGACACGACATGACGCCTATGATTGTAATCGCCATCAATATGAACCAACTCGCAAGCAACGCGAGAGTCCATGACATTACGACCATGTCGGGTTTCGGGCACGGTGGCATTGGTATGGGGTAGTCCACGTCGCCTTCCTCCTTGCCCGCGAAGAGGGGGAAGACGTTCCCAACAGACACGGGGCCCAACTGCAGCAGCAGCAGTAGCAGGAGCATCTTGCCGCTGGTGTCGCCAAAGTCCAAGTGTGATCACGTGCTCAGACAGCCCCTTTAGTAACGTCAACATTTCCGGCCGTGACGCGTGGTTATAGATTTCCTGTTGTGACACGTGGTTTAGAAGCGCGTATGTGACGTCACTAGCGTCGATATGTGTTATTTATTTATTTAACGGAGTCATTCCTTTCCTCTACTCACTTGAGTTCAACACGGTGACCTCTGCATTACTAATTTTACGTGGTAATATTTTTATAAAATGGCCATTTTATTTAACATTGGATTCAAAATAAACTAATTTATTCCGTGCAATGTCACAGAAAAAAAGTAGTCAATTTATGCATGTCAATGCAATCATGCGATGCTTGAAGGACACGTGTCTATCTCAGTCACTGTGTGATCAAGGAGATGGACATACAGAGACAGAAAGATAAACACAAAGTTCTAGGTGTGACAGTTGTCGAGTCTCTACACTCGTGAACTCTAACACCTAGATGTACTGTAGGTGTAATTGACGAGTAACCTGTCCTGTAACACCTAGATATACTGTTGGTGTTCGTGACTAACAACGTGTCCTGCCCAAACCGACTAAAGGAAAATGCATTTTCTCTGTCTCTCTGTCCCCGTGTCTGTGTGTCTATTTCACCTTATCTTTCTGTGTATGCCCGTGCCTGTGTAATATCTTAGACTGGGAATGATGGATGTCATGCAGCGAGAGCGTGGGTAGGGGTTGAACAAGGGCAGTATTGGGGGCACACGGTGAGAATAAGAGCCAGGGTAAGGATCGTGATGTTACGCATAGCAATGGGTATGTGAATGGTTGACAAGGCCGTACGGGTAAGATGAATAGCATGAGAAGGGGGTAGAAAGTATATTGGTAAATAATTAATCAGTCGGTAACAGGTAGCTGGTAGGATAGAAAATGTCAAGAACCGATGTGAAAAATATTGCAACGTTTGTGGAGTAGACATCAAGCAAATGTAGATCCGGAGGATCTAAGGCGACTTGGAGAGTGAGCGGGGGTAAGGGGGTTCGAAATAGCAATTCGATGTACAGAGGGGAATGTTTACGAGATGTGGACGAGAGTCAGAGTGTGGCATGAGTGGACAGAGGAGTGCGACAAAGTGGGGAGAGCACGCCAGGGTAGCGCATCTGGACTCGAGAGAGAGAGAGCGGTCGTGGAAGTTTGACACGGGCCGGTTCAAGAGTTGGGGACGCATGCTCGATCCAGCGGTGTATCATTTATAAAAGACCAACGTTGTCTGTCAACTAAATGATGAGAGCCTTGCAGAAGGCCTGACTCAAAAAGTTTTAGAAAGTGAACCCCCCCCCCCCCCCACATGTGGGGGTAAAAAGTTGATCCAACAGGTTTCCGAAAATTGTCGACCCCCCAAAAAATGCACCTCCCCACCCTCCCCCCAATTTTGTTTAAATTTGTAGCTAAAATAAATTTCTACACATCCTACATACAATAAAGTAAATAGTATCTGCACACATTAAGGAGGGGTGGGGGGGGAAGGAGAGGACATCAGTAGGGGGGCAACGGGCGAGGTGCGAAGCGCCGAGAAGCGCTCCGCATGCGGTTGAGGAAGGCGGCCACGTGCCGCCAATATTCTAGTGGACTACAATTGGAAGAAATTTTGATTTAAAGCTTTCGTGACTGCAGTAATTCATATTCTTAGCTATTTCGGTAAAGTCACGCTGAAAGGAAACAATAAAATAATAAATATATATAATACAATTTAAATTCTCACGACGTTTCGACCAAAACACAAACGGTCGTCATCAGGTGTGTCGGATTGCATACATCTATTTATTTATTAAGAATACAATTGGAAGAGTTGGGGACTCGGTGTTATGGAGAACAAGGGCTGTCCATATTCGGCACTGAGGGCTGTAAATACAAGTGTGATGCCCGTCACATGGTAACACGACTCGTTGTGTGTAGCTTTTATTTCTTTATTTGTTGGACCCCATTGTGACAATAATACTGTGTAATTTAAACTTGAAACGCTATTCACAGTATTGACTCACTCTTGAATAGAGAGACTATTTCAGAAGCGCGACCAACCACAGACAAGCGGGAGAGGAAGCAGCAAATTACCCCAAGCTTTGCGGTCCTCTTCATACGAAGAAGACTTCGACGAATTAAAGAATGTTTACAAGTGGGGAAAAAAATCGCAGTACCCAGAGAAAACCCACTCGTGCGAGGGGGCAACGTTGGAGTCCGTACAGATGGAAGGCGTGGAGTCCACATTCGATGCACTGCCATCTCCTCGCAAGGCAGGATGGCGCTGTGGTTCGCGTAGTATGATGAGCCAGGTTACCTGAGTTCGATTCCCACTCATTCCCAATAACAGTTACGAATATGTGAACTGGTTCGAGTTCGTCTCAGCCCTTTTTTGAGTTGTTGATGCAGTGTGTAAATTGAAGGCGCGGTATACAAGCAGTCCCCGACTTACGAACATATGACTGACGAACATCCACCCTTACGATTGAACCGCCAGTTGCTGTTGTTTTAAACATCTGACTTGCGAACGTTCGCACGTACTCGCGAATTAAACAGCGGAACTCCTTTGTTTGGCAGAGCAATCATCCTCGATATATAATGGGTCCCAGCTTCCCGTTGGAAGTGAGTGTGCGTGTGAAAGTGTGTGTGTACGCGTGGGGAGCGGTAGTGTAGCGATTAGCGCGCTGCGCTATGAACCTGGCAACTCGGGTTCGATTCCCGCTCACGGCCAACACCAGTGACGATTATCTGAACCGGTCCAGGCCCTCCCCTAGGTCTACTCAGCCTCAAATGAGTACCTGGTGCGGTGTGTAAACATTGCCACTAGGGAGACAAAGGCGGTCGGGCGTGGTGCTGGCCACCCACCCCCTCGTGTACCGATCCGGCCTTCATAGGTGCTCGCTAACAGCACTTGCCCCTACAGTCTGTTAAGGCTATACGGGGGATCTTTGTTGTGTGGCTGTGTGTGTGTACGCGTGGGGAGCGGTAGTGTAGCGGTTAGCGCGCTGTGTGGTGCCGCCGCAGCGGAGCCGCTCCAGCGGAACCGCGCCCACTACCGCGGCGCCATCACCTATGCCGCGGATTTCCCGCCACTCTCCCGGGGCCGGTGCCTTCTCAGACGTCCGCGTTTTGGCCCCTGCACAGTCGTGAGGCCGCTGCAGCAGGGCCACTCTGCCGACGCTGCGCAACCCTCACCGCCCCCCCCACCCCCGCACGAACGTACACACGCCCCACGTAGAGCCAGGAGGGGAGGTCACCCGGCTGATAGGTTTTTGTCCAGAAGTCCCTAGTGGGATCGAACTTCATGGTTTCCTGCGGCCGGGAAATTGGGCGATCTTCCCCCCTGTAGCTGACATGCACTGCGGCGCCGCCACCTGATATTAAAGTTGCATGGTCGCGGCAAGGGCCATCGAACCACCGCGAGTGGAGCCTCACACATGCACGGGTCAGTGGACTGGTAGCGGGAGAACAGAGAGCGGACGTCGGTGAGATCACTGCGGCGACGTCATCTGAGCTGGGATCCGGACATCGAAAGGGCGGGAGAATCCGTGCCCCTGATTGGACGGGAGGCCAAGGGTCGGAAAGAGCAAAAATTCCTTTGTTGTAGGTAGGATAAAAAGGAAGGGGATTGGGGTAGCAAGGGGGTTCTTCTTCTGGTTCAAGATCATCGCGGTTCCGGGAGCAGGAGAGTCAGCCATCCGAGACGTCCGTGAGACGTACTCCAGCATCGGCAGGCTCGTCGCCTCATTCCCTCACAACGGTCAGTACATCGGGGAGAAGTAAGTACGAGTGAGAGAGGCGTAAGTTCAGCCGTTTTACATCCAGGATAGAGCGCGGGGCGAGCGGTAGGGGAAATCGACTCGTAGACCTCCGAGGGATAGATTAGCGTCCACTGACCATACCATCACAGGTAAATAAAATTCGCTAGTGGGGGGAAAAAACTGTGTTGCGTGGTCTTTTGGGAGTGTGAAGTGGAGGGCAGTGTGCGCTGGGTGTCTACGTGTATGCGCGGCTGTGCACCTCGAGACGAAGCGTGGGGTGTTTACGTGCCCGCACGATTGCCCACCATAGTGCTTAGCGATCGCGTACCTGGGTGGCGGTGCCGCGGTCACGCACCCGCACACGGGTCTGGTCGTGAGATAGCGAGTTAGAGCGCCGAGCGCGCGCGTATTCGCGCCACTGTTTGAGCGGGACCTTTAACTCAGAGCCAAGCGAGCGTCCCCAATCAGCGGCGCGCACGGCAGAAACCCTGCCCGCCCGTCCCCCGGCTCCAACCCCTTCGTGTGCGATTGGTCTGTTTACGGGCAGAGGGTAGGGGCGTGTTTGTTATTGTCGGCACACGTGGAGCGCGGGTGGGAGGGAAACACGCGCCGCGCCTGTTTGTTTACGGGCGGGACGGAGATTTACTGGCGAGCGCGCTTACAGCCCCACCCCGCCTTTGCACAGTGTAACGCATCGCAAGCGCGGAGCGTACGAGCCGCTAATTAAACTATGCAAACGCGGTCTACATCCCAGGCAGAGGTACAGGGGGGCGAGACGTTAGGGGTCGTTAGTCTGGACGTGACGGAGCAGCCGGGGGGTAGCGGTGTGAGTGGAACGGGGGAGTCGGTGGGCAGCGGCCCCGACAATTCAGCGATGGCGGGGGACGGTAGCCCGCACAGCTGCGCTACGAACCCGGCGTCCTGGGTTCGATTCCCGCTCACGGCCAACACTAGTGACGATTATCTAAACCGGTCCTGGGCCTCCCCTAGGTCGACTCGGTGCGGTGTGTAAACATTGCCACTAGGGAGACAAAGGCGGTCGGGCGTGGTGCTGGCCACCCACCCCCTCGTGTATCGTTCCGGCCTTCATAGGTGCTCGCTAACAGCACTTGCCCCTACAGGCTGTTAAGGCTGTATGGGGGATCTTTATATTTGTCGTTGTGTATGCGTGCTCCCGTGTGTGTGTGTGTGCATTTTTGAGGACCTAGTATGCCCCTTCCGACAATCAGGTCAGCATGAACACTCAAAGTGAAAATGAGACGGATGTTTTTATTTTCAAGTTACTTTATTGCATAACTTACATGCCCTACAGCATTTATAATAGTTTTACGCGCTAAAGTACTACTTATTTACGAGTTTAACAATGCTTAATGTTTTTTTGCGGTAACAATTTCTACGTCCAGTATGTGCAGTACATAAAATGTAATATTGAGTTCCGAGGTTCAAACAAATTGACTTTCGAAACGCGTGTTCATTCCTAACATGTGTGTGAGTGTATGTCTGTGTCAAGAGCGGTGGCACTGTAGTTAGCTCAGTGTTAAGAACCCGCCCACCGGCGTTCGATTCTTGATGTGGTGTATAAACTTCAGCACTGGGACGATGAAGATCTTCAGGCGTGGCATTGTTCAACAACCACTTCTTGTGTCGATGCTGGCCTTCATTGGTTCTTGCTAATAGCACTTGTCCAACAGTCTGTTCAAGGCGAGACGAGGAATCTTATTCGTGTATTCTTTTTGTTACTTTTTAATTGGGGCAAACTTGAAGCTAAAGCGATCTTTAAACTGCCCGAATTTAAAAGTTTACAGGAAGAATTGTTTGAGCCATCTAAATTTAGATGTCTCGGCTGTCGTCGTGGGGATGCCTGCTGGTGAGGGTGGTCGTGGAGGCGGCGGCAGTGATGGCCGTGGCGGCATCGTCTGTGGTGGCGGCAAGACTCAGCGTCTCCATCTCCTGGTGGAGCATCTCCTTCTGCTGAAACAGCGCCACGATCTCCTGATACAGCGTCACGTTCTCCTCGTGCAGCGTCTGGCTTTCTTGACGCAGCGTCTCGTGATACGCGATCGCTCGCTGTTGCAGAATATTCTCCCGACGCAACGCCTCCATCTCCCGAAGCGCCGCCTCCGTCCGCTCGCGCAGCACCTTGTTCTTCTGAAACAACATCGCGACTTGCTCCTCCTGCACCTCATTCGCCTGACGCAGCAGCTCGTAGTGTTGTTTGTGGGTTGACATAGCTGAAAATATACAAGGATAAGAACGAATAGTTTGGAAAGCGCCTGGCACAGGAAATATACCGAAGCACTGACGAGGACACGACATGACACCTATGATTGTAATCGCCATCAATATGAACCAACTCGCAAGCAACGCGAGAGTCCATGACATTACGACCATGTCGGGTTTCGGGCATGGTGGCATTGGTATGGGGTAGTCCACGTCGCCTTCCTCCTTGCCCGCGAAGAGGGGGAAGACGTTCCCAACAGACACGGGGCCCAACTGCAGCAGCAGCAGTAGCAGGAGCATCTTGCCGCTCGTGTCGCCAAAGTCCAAGTGTGATCACGTGCTCAGACAGCCCCTTTAGTAACGTCAACATTTCCGGCCGTGACGCGTGGTTATAGATTTCCTGTTGTGACACGTGGTTTAGAAACGCGTCTGTGACGTCACTAGCGTCGATATGTGTTATTTATTTATTTAACGGAGTCATTCCTTTCCTCTACTCACTTGAGTTCAACACGGTGACCTCTGCATTACTAATTTTACGTGGTAATATTTTTATAAAATGGCCATTTTATTTAACATTGGATTCAAAATAAACTAATTTATTCCGTGCAATGTCACAGAAAAAAAGTAGTCAATTTATGCATGTCAATGCAATCATGCGATGCTTGAAGGACACGTGTCTATCTCAGTCACTGTGTGATCAAGGAGATGGACATACAGAGACAGAAAGATAAACACAAAGTTCTAGGTGTGACAGTTGTCGAGTCTCTACACTCGTGAACTCTAACACCTAGATGTACTGTAGGTGTAATTGACGAGTAACCTGTCCTGTAACACCTAGATATACTGTTGGTGTTCGTGACTAACAACGTGTCCTGCCCAAACCGACTAAAGGAAAATGCATTTTCTCTGTCTCTCTGTCCCCGTGTCTGTGTGTCTATTTCACCTTATCTTTCTGTGTATGCCCGTGCCTGTGTAATATCTTAGACTGGGAATGATGGATGTCATGCAGCGAGAGCGTGGGTAGGGGTTGAACAAGGGCAGTATTGGGGGCACACGGTGAGAATAAGAGCCAGGGTAAGGATCGTGATGTTACGCATAGCAATGGGTATGTGAATGGTTGACAAGGCCGTACGGGTAAGATGAATAGCATGAGAAGGGGGTAGAAAGTATATTGGTAAATAATTAATCAGTCGGTAACAGGTAGCTGGTAGGATAGAAAATGTCAAGAACCGATGTGAAAAATATTGCAACGTTTGTGGAGTAGACATCAAGCAAATGTAGATCCGGAGGATCTAAGGCGACTTGGAGAGTGAGCGGGGGTAAGGGGGTTCGAAATAGCAATTCGATGTACAGAGGGGAATGTTTACGAGATGTGGACGAGAGTCAGAGTGTGGCATGAGTGGACAGAGGAGTGCGACAAAGTGGGGAGAGCACGCCAGGGTAGCGCATCTGGACTCGAGAGAGAGAGAGCGGTCGTGGGAGTTTGACACGGGCCGGTTCAAGAGTTGGGGACGCATGCTCGATCCAGCGGTGTATCATTTATAAAAGACCAACGTTGTCTGTCAACTAAATGATGAGAGCCTTGCAGAAGGCCTGACTCAAAAAGTTTTAGAAAGTGAACCCCCCCCCCCACATGTGGGGGTAAAAAGTTGATCCAACAGGTTTCCGAAAATTGTCGACCCCCCAAAAAATGCACCTCCCCACCCTCCCCCCAATTCGGTTTAAATTTGTAGCTAAAATAAATTTCTACACATCCTACATACAATAAAGTAAATAGTATCTGCACACATTAAGGAGGGGTGGGGGGGGGGAAGGAGAGGACATCAGTAGGGGGGCAACGGGCGAGGTGCGAAGCGCCGAGAAGCGCTCCGCATGCGGTTGAGGAAGGCGGCCACGTGCCGCCAATATTCTAGTGGACTACAATTGGAAGAAATTTTGATTTAAAGCTTTCGTGACTGCAGTAATTCATATTCTTAGCTATTTCGGTAAAGTCACGCTGAAAGGAAACAATAAAATAATAAATATATATAATACAATTTAAATTCTCACGACGTTTCGACCAAAACACAAACGGTCGTCATCAGGTGTGTCGGATTGCATACATCTATTTATTTATTAAGAATACAATTGGAAGAGTTGGGGACTCGGTGTTATGGAGAACAAGGGCTGTCCATATTCGGCACTGAGGGCTGTAAATACAAGTGTGATGCCCGTCACATGGTAACACGACTCGTTGTGTGTAGCTTTTATTTCTTTATTTGTTGGACCCCATTGTGACAATAATACTGTGTAATTTAAACTTGAAACGCTATTCACAGTATTCACTCACTCTTGAATAGAGAGACTATTTCAGAAGCGCGACCAACCACAGACAAGCGGGAGAGGAAACAGCAAATTACCCCAAGCTTTGCGGTCCTCTTCATACGAAGAAGACTTCGACGAATTAAAGAATGTTTACAAGTGGGGAAAAAAATCGCAGTACCCAGAGAAAACCCACTCGTGCGAGGGGGCAACGTTGGAGTCCGTACAGATGGAAGGCGTGGAGTCCACATTCGATGCACTGCCATCTCCTCGCAAGGCAGGATGGCGCTGTGGTTCGCGTAGTATGATGAGCCAGGTTACCTGAGTTCGATTCCCACTCATTCCCAATAACAGTTACGAATATGTGAACTGGTTCGAGTTCGTCTCAGCCCTTTTTTGAGTTGTTGATGCAGTGTGTAAATTGAAGGCGCGGTATACAAGCAGTCCCCGACTTACGAACATATGACTGACGAACATCCACCCTTACGATTGAACCGCCAGTTGCTGTTGTTTTAAACATCTGACTTGCGAACGTTCGCACGTACTCGCGAATTAAACAGCGGAACTCCTTTGTTTGGCAGAGCAATCATCCTCGATATATAATGGGTCCCAGCTTCCCGTTGGAAGTGAGTGTGCGTGTGAAAGTGTGTGTGTACGCGTGGGGAGCGGTAGTGTAGCGATTAGCGCGCTGCGCTATGAACCTGGCAACTCGGGTTCGATTCCCGCTCACGGCCAACACCAGTGACGATTATCTGAACCGGTCCAGGCCCTCCCCTAGGTCTACTCAGCCTCAAATGAGTACCTGGTGCGGTGTGTAAACATTGCCACTAGGGAGACAAAGGCGGTCGGGCGTGGTGCTGGCCACCCACCCCCTCGTGTACCGATCCGGCCTTCATAGGTGCTCGCTAACAGCACTTGCCCCTACAGTCTGTTAAGGCTATACGGGGGATCTTTGTTGTGTGGCTGTGTGTGTGTACGCGTGGGGAGCGGTAGTGTAGCGGTTAGCGCGCTGTGTGGTGCCGCCGCAGCGGAGCCGCTCCAGCGGAACCGCGCCCACTACCGCGGCGCCATCACCTATGCCGCGGATTTCCCGCCACTCTCCCGGGGCCGGTGCCTTCTCAGACGTCCGCGTTTTGGCCCCTGCACAGTCGTGAGGCCGCTGCAGCAGGGCCACTCTGCCGACGCTGCGCAACCCTCACCGCCCCCCCCACCCCCGCACGAACGTACACACGCCCCACGTAGAGCCAGGAGGGGAGGTCACCCGGCTGATAGGTTTTTGTCCAGAAGTCCCTAGTGGGATCGAACTTCATGGTTTCCTGCGGCCGGGAAATTGGGCGATCTTCCCCCCTGTAGCTGACATGCACTGCGGCGCCGCCACCTGATATTAAAGTTGCATGGTCGCGGCAAGGGCCATCGAACCACCGCGAGTGGAGCCTCACACATGCACGGGTCAGTGGACTGGTAGCGGGAGAACAGAGAGCGGACGTCGGTGAGATCACTGCGGCGACGTCATCTGAGCTGGGATCCGGACATCGAAAGGGCGGGAGAATCCGTGCCCCTGATTGGACGGGAGGCCAAGGGTCGGAAAGAGCAAAAATTCCTTTGTTGTAGGTAGGATAAAAAGGAGGGGGATTGGGGTAGCAAGGGGGGTTCTTCTTCTGGTTCAAGATCATCGCGGTTCCGGGAGCAGGAGAGTCAGCCATCCGAGACGTCCGTGAGACGTACTCCAGCATCGACAGGCTTGTCGCCTCATTCCCTCACAACGGTCAGTACATCGGGGAGAAGTAAGTACGAGTGAGAGAGGCGTAAGTTCAGCCGTTTTACATCCAGGATAGAGCGCGGGGCGAGCGGTAGGGGAAATCGACTCGTAGACCTCCGAGGGATAGATTAGCGTCCACTGACCATACCATCACAGGTAAATAAAATTCGCTAGTGGGGGGAAAAAACTGTGTTGCGTGGTCTTTTGGGAGTGTGAAGTGGAGGGCAGTGTGCGCTGGGTGTCTACGTGTATGCGCGGCTGTGCACCTCGAGACGAAGCGTGGGGTGTTTACGTGCCCGCACGATTGCCCACCATAGTGCTTAGCGATCGCGTACCTGGGTGGCGGTGCCGCGGTCACGCACCCGCACACGGGTCTGGTCGCGAGATAGCGAGTTAGAGCGCCGAGCGCGCGCGTATTCGCGCCACTGTTTGAGCGGGACCTTTAACTCAGAGCCAAGCGAGCGTCCCCAATCAGCGGCGCGCACGGCAGAAACCCTGCCCGCCCGTCCCCCGGCTCCAACCCCTTCGTGTGCGATTGGTCTGTTTACGGGCAGAGGGTAGGGGCGTGTTTGTTATTGTCGGCACACGTGGAGCGCGGGTGGGAGGGAAACACGCGCCGCGCCTGTTTGTTTACGGGCGGGACGGAGATTTACTGGCGAGCGCGCTTACAGCCCCACCCCGCCTTTGCACAGTGTAACGCATCTCAAGCGCGGAGCGTACGAGCCGCTAATTAAACTATGCAAACGCGGTCTACATCCCAGGCAGAGGTACAGGGGGGCGAGACGTTAGGGGTCGTTAGTCTGGACCTGACGGAGCAGCCGGGGGGTAGCGGTGTGAGTGGAACGGGGGAGTCGGTGGGCAGCGGCCCCGACAATTCAGCGATGGCGGGGGACGGTAGCCCGCACAGCTGCGCTACGAACCCGGCGTCCTGGGTTCGATTCCCGCTCACGGCCAACACTAGTGACGATTATCTAAACCGGTCCTGGGCCTCCCCTAGGTCGACTCGGTGCGGTGTATAAACATTGCCACTAGGGAGACAAAGGCGGTCGGGCGTGGTGCTGGCCACCCACCCCCTCGTGTATCGTTCCGGCCTTCATAGGTGCTCGCTAACAACACTTGCCCCTACAGGCTGTTAAGGCTGTATGGGGGATCTTTATATTTGCCGTTGTGTATGCGTGCTCCCGTGTGTGTGTGCATTTTTGAGGACGTAGTATGCCCCTTCCGACAAGCAGATCAGCATGAACACTCAAAGTGAAAATGAGACGGATGTTTTTCTTTTCAAGTTACTTTATTGCATAACTTATATGCCCTACAGCATTTATAATAGTTTTACGCGCTAAAGTACTACTTATTTATGAGTTTAACAATGCTTAATATTTTTTTGCGGTAACAATTTCTACGTCCAGTATGTGCAGTACATAAAATGTAATATTGAGTTCCGAGGTTCAAACAAATTGACTTTCGAAACGCGTGTTCATTCCTAACATGTGTGTGAGTGTATGTCTGTGTCAAGAGCGGTGGCACTGTAGTTAGCTCAGTGTTAAGAACCCGCCCACCGGCGTTCGATTCTAACTTATGATCAATAACAGTTGGGAATTCTTTTTTTTATTTTAGCCTAAAAATTAGTTCTTAATGCGGTGTATAAACTTCAGCACTGGGACGATGAAGATCTTCAGGCGTGGCATTGTTCAACAACCGCTTCTTGTGTCGATGCTGGCCGTCATTGGTTCTTGCTAATAGCATTTGTCCAACAGTCTGTTCAAGGCGAGACGAGGGCTCTTATTCGCGTATTCTTTTCGTTACTTTTTAGTTGAGGCAAACTTGAAGCTAAAGCGATCTTTAAACTGCCCAAATTGAAAAGTTTACAGGAAGAATTGTCTGAGCCATCTAAATTTAGATGTCTTGGCTGTCGTCGTGGGGATGCCTGCTGGTGAGGGTGGTCGTGGAGGCGGCGGCAGTGATGGCCGTGGCGGCATCGTCTGTGGTGGCGGCAAGACTCAGCGTCTCCATCTCCTGGTGGAGCATCTCCTTCTGCTGTAACAGCGCCACGATCTCCTGATACAGCGTCACGTTCTCCTCGTGCATCGTCTGGCTTTCTTGACGCAGCGTCTCGTGATACTCGATCGCTCGCTGTTGCAGAATATTCTCCCGACGCAACGCCTCCATCTCCCGAAGCGCCGCCTCCGTCCGCTCGCGCAGCACCTTGTTCTTCTGAAACATCATCGCGACTTGCTCCTCCTGCACCTCATTCGCCTGACGCAGCAGCTCGTAGTGTTGTTTGTGCGTTGACATAGCTGAAAATATACAAGGATAAGAACGAATAGTTTGGAAAGCGCCTGGCACAGGAAATATACCGAAGCACTGACGAGGACACGACATGACGCCTATGATTGTAATCGCCATCAATATGAGCCAACTCGCAAGCAACGCGAGAGTCCATGACATTACGACCATGTCGGGTTTCGGGCATGGTGGCATTGGTATGGGGTAGTCCACGTCGCCTTCCTCCTTGCCCGCGAAGAGGGGGAAGACGTTCCCAACAGACACGGGGCCCAACTGCAGCAGCAGCAGTAGCAGGAGCATCTTGCCGCTGGTGTCGCCAAAGTCCAAGTGTGATCACGTGCTCAGACAGCCCCTTTAGTAACGTCATCATTTCCGGCCGTGACGCGCGGTTATAGATTTCCTGTTGTGACACGTGGTTTAGAAACGCGACTGTGACGTCACTAGCGTCGATATGTGTTATTTATTTATTTAACGGAGTCATTCCTTTCCTCTACTCACTTGAGTTCAACACGGTGACCTCTGCATTACTAATTTTACGTGGTAATATTTTTTATAAAATGGGCATTTTATTTAACATTGGATTCAAAATAAACTAATTTATTCCTTGCAATGTCACAGATAAAAAGTAGTCAATTCATGCATGTGAATGCAATCATGCGATGCTTGAAGGACACGTCTCTATCTCAGTCATTGTGTGATCAAGGAGATGGACATACAGAGACAGAAAGATAAACACAAAGTTCTAGGTGTGACAGTTTTCGAGTCTCTCCACTCGTGACCTCTAACACCTAGATGTACTGTAGGTGTAATTGACGAGTAACCTATCCTGTAACACCTAGATATACTGTTGGTGTTCGTGACTAACAACGTGTCCTGCCCAAACCGACTAAAGGAAAATGCATTTTCTCTGTCTCTCTGTCTCCGTGTCTGTGTGTCTATTTCACCTTATCTTTGTGTGTACGCCCGTGCCTGTGTAATATCTTAGACTGGGAATGATGGATGTCATGCAGCGAGAGCGTGGGTAGGGGTTGAGCAAGTGCAGTATTGGGGACGCACGGTGAGAATAAGAGCCAGGGTAAGGATCGTGATGTTAAGCATAACAATGGGTATGTGAATGGTTGACAAGGCCGTACGGGTAAGATGAATAGCATGAGAAGGGGGTAGAAAGTATATTGGTAAATAATTAATCAGTAGGAAACAGGTAGCTGGTAGGATAGCAGATGTCAAGAACCGAGTTGAAAAATATTGCAACGTTGGTGGAGTAGACATCAAGCAAATGTAGATCCGGAGGAGCTAAGGCGACTTGGAGAGTGAGCGGGGGTAAGGGGGTTCGATATAGCAATTCGATGTACAGAGGGGAATGTTTACGAGATGTGGAGGAGAGTCAGAGTGTGGCATGAGTAGACACAGGAGTGCGACAAAGTGGGGAGAGCACGCCAGGGTAGCGCATCTGGACTCGAGAGAGAGAGAGCGGTCGTGGGAGTTTGACACGGGCCGGTTCAAGAGTTGGGGACGCATGCTCACTCCCGCGGTATATCATTTATAAA